ATTGTTGATTTTTAACAGAGATTCCTACAATGCTCAGAACTCTAAGGGCTGTTTTACAAAGCAGATAATGAGCAGGTTTGAACTCACTAAAAACAAGGTCAGGGAAAAGGAGCGAAATTAGACAACTTACATCTCACACAATATGGTGTCTGAATAAGATCTCCAACCATTATTAGCCACTAGAAAACTATGAAAACTGGCTAACCTGGAGGTTACTTAATGGGGAGGTGTACACTTGTATGTACATAGTGGGGAATCGTGATGCAGCCTAGCACAAATCTAAACCCATTTACCCCCCCCAATAACGACAGACCACTTAGTATGGATGAACAGGCCACAGCATTTATTATCACAAACTAAATTACTGCATAACACATCCATAACTTTGTTTATTAAATCTCTTCTTTCTGTAACCAAAAGGTTAGACATAAATAAGCATAAATTAACATATATACATATATAACTCCACCCATAGTGTTATACAGTGACCCAACTGTCCTTGCCAATAAACATACAGTGGTTCCTAATCACCACTTCGTCTCACCTCCCCCCTCGTCATAAAAATCATATATTTCCAATGCCCGCCATCAGCCGACCTTATCCACGCTCGATGGGCACGACACCTCAGGCAACCTAATGTTTAACCTTTTAAGCAGGGGAGGTTGAGACCTAAAAAAAACTTGTTCATCTCATTCCATATACTTAAACGTAACCACTAAAACTCAATTGGCAAGGACATACCCCCGGCTAGCTGTGACGAAATATACCAATAGGGCGGGCGGGAGGGAAACTGTTTGCTGGCCCGAATCCCAAGTGGCACTGAGGTAAGACCTCCCCCACACTAACTTACACAGAACATAATCCCACCCCCACACTCTTTCCCAACCAATCCCATGCATCTATCCCGACACTCCTACATGTGCCCTTGTCCGCTTAGCTGCGCTATCTCCCCAGGGCCTTATACGTAGGGGCTTACTGATATTCTAACAACTTGTAGCAAAGATGGTTAGTGTTGTCATTTATTATAGAGAGGTGCCCTGGAAGGCCCGGTAGGTATTCCTCCTGGGACACTTACTATCTATTGTTAAAAGCAATGTGTGTCACTAGTACTAGTCAATGTGCTAATGTGTAACAACCTGTGTTATAAATACTAGTCAATGTGTTAATGTAGATTATTTATAAAGCACCAACAAATTCCGTCTCGCTGTACAATGGGCGGACTGACAGACACACAATTGTAACGAGACGAGTTGGACACACAGGACCAGAGGTGTTTGAGGGCCCTGCTCTTACATTCTGGATTGAGTGAGGTGAAGTGACACAAGAGGTAAGGGTTGGATGTATTCTATGTATTGGAGAACGTAGGTTACTAGAATAGTTTACAATAAAGGATTAGTTGCAAGGTGCGGAGAGGGAAAGTTATTAACAGTTTAATTGATACTCTTTCCTAATAAAGTGAGGCCATAATAATCTTTTGAAGGAACTGAGACTGGTGAGATTCTAATGGAGCAGGGAAGAGAGTTCCATAGGAACGGTGCTGCCCTAGAGAAGTCTTGAATGAGAAACAGAGAATAAACACAGATATTGGGCAGAGCGTAGTTCTGTTCAGGTCACAGACAGGAAACCTTTGACCCAGACTGTGGGAGAGAGATATTAGGGTGGGTTAGGCCTTCAATTAAACTACGGAATGGGAAGTGGCATCTATGCACGAATGGGGTGAGGGTTTGTCAGGCAAAACAAACATTTTGGGGGAGTGCAGAATTACAGAGAGAAGACATTATGAATATAGGTGAATAAAACAATTAAATAGACAAGCCAAATATCTGGAGTAGGGCGGGTAAAACTAACTTTAGCCTAGAGGACATGACATAAAGGTAAAGAGAAATCCGGTAATGTCAATCTATTTTGATGTACCACCAATGAAGGGATATGACTAAATGGAAAGTCATCAGATAAATGGAATAAATGTAAAATGAAGTTCTGTAGATAAATGAATGCAGAATGAAGTGAAGAGTAAATGTATTTATTTGTTTATTTAAGTCTTATATAGTGCCCTTACCCAATGAGCTTTGTAATATAGGCAGAAATAACATTGGTGCTTATACACACATGGTATACATAGACACATTGAAACAAAATGACAAGAGAATATTGAGCTGACAGGAATGGAAGATCTGCAGACAAACTAAACGATCTAAAGGTAAACAGCAGATAAAATGATCAGCCACAACATTAAAACCACCAGCCTAATATTGTGTAGGTTCCCCTCGTGTTGCCAAAACACCCCTGATGTGTCAAGGAATGGACTCCACAAGACCTGTGAACGTGTCCCGTGGTATCGGCCACCAAGACATTAGCAGCAGATCCTTTAAGTCCTGCAAGTTGTGAGGTGGGACCTCCACGGATCGCATTTGTTGTTCCAGCACATCCTACTGTGGCTGATTGGAAACCTTTGGCCCAGGGGGCAAGTACAGCAACTCACTAACAAAAATAAGAAAACATGGGAAAGATATCACATGATAAATCATATGCAGAGAAAAGAATTACAATGTATTATATATATTCTATTATTTATTTAACTTAATTGTTACCTCAGCCTGGCTACATATATACAGATACACATTCAGCCACACATGCAGACAAATTCACAGATACATGTTGACAGGGCTTAAATATTTCAGGTCCTGGGCTACTAGCCTGGTATGAGATTTACTTGCCACTGTAAATGTGCGCACACATACACCCACACACACTTTGTTTTTCTCACATTGAGCAAGTTCCAACGAAGCAATGGAACAAATTCCGGTCACTTATTCACTCACACTCATAGCCTGCCACACACACAATGACAGAAATAATGACACACACACACACACATACACTTTTTGTTTGTTTGTTTTTCTCACATTGTGCAAGTTCCAAGGAAGCAATGGACCAAATTTCTTTACTAGTAAACAAACCGGTCACTTATTCACTCATCCTCATAACTAGCCACACACACAATGACAGACATAGTGACACACACAGTCATACCTGAAGGTGCACCCACAGTGTACACATACACACAGTCACACAAACATATACAACTGCACACTCAGTGACACATGTAAACACAATTACACATTCTCAGAAATATAAACAGTCTGTCATATAGACACAATACACATATGAAGAAATACATGTGGTTAGTAGTGGTATTTCCATTAAGTAAAAGATGGGAAGGGGGATACAAGTTAGCTGCTTCATAGCCCAATATAGTTTGGGGTGAAGGTAGTAGTGGGAGATAAGGGCTGTAGTGAGGGGCTAGGGGCAGTAGTGGGGGGCTAGGGAATGATAGCAGAATTTGTGGCAGTAGTGAGAGATAGGGACTGTAATTGGGGGTTAGGGGCTGTAATTTGGGGTTAGGGGCGGAAGTGGGGCGATATGTGGTGGAGTGGCGTAGATAAGGGGATTTAATATTCAAAAAATAACGTTCCTTCCACCCCTCTCTGAAACTTTCCTTTGCCCAGGGAGGGGGGAATCCTGATCCCTGGTTCTAAATGCAGTTTGTCAGTGACTGGAGCTCGGTTCGCAGAGGGTCAGAACAGCTTCAGCACTGTTCATAACCTCCGGCATGAACTCTGAACCCAGGGGCTCGGCTGCAGGAAGGTGCTGCTGCTTGGCCCCGCTACAGTAAGGAAGAGAGATTTATTATTTGTCCCGAGTCCCTTATTCTGGCACAGAAATGGAACACTCGGGGCTAATAATAATAAATGACACATTTCAGACCAGGTGCTTTTTGGGGATTGGATAGGCGGTCATTCAAACTGATCTTAATCTTCCCCATCCTCCCGAATGTATATTTCGGTGTGAAGCTGTACCAAATGTAAAGTGTAATCACAGGAAATAAAGAGGATATACACTGATTAGCCACAAGATTAAAACCACTGACAGGTGAAGTGATTATAACACTTATTATATCATTACAGTGGCACCTGTCAGGAGGTGGGATATATTAGGCAGCAAGTGAACAGTCAGTTCTTTAATTTCATGTGTTCTTGAAGTCCCTGTAGGTAACAGGAAGAAAAATAAAGCGAAGAAGTGAGTGTAGGTCGCTGTAAGTGACCCCTGTAGCTAAAGAGCCCATAAGACAAATATTTCTATTTATACCCAGGCTGCAGCCATTCTGCACTTACATATTTTACGCCTGTTCTACATGTCACAGCAATAGGTGGATTCTGAGCAAATGAAGTGAAAATTACCGTGAGTTAGCCACTAATGAGCTTGTCAAGGCTAGAATGACTGCATTAAACAGCTCTTTATTCTGACAGCTAAAGACACAATGTGCACTCAATGGATGTTACATAAGATTTTATTGCTTGTATACGCACCGCATGTCACAAAGCAAGCTGAGCTGATGCAACTCTTTACAATGTTGCACAGCAAGCGAGGAGGGGAGAACGGGTATCTCTATACGCTGGTATAGTGGGCATCCAACCAATATGTCAAACACGGGATAAATGTGAGTAATAAAGACTCTGTATTGTGAGGCTTTAACAATAATTGGCAAGCACAGCATATGGGAAAGGCAGGTGTGTGTCTCTTATGGTTTAGCTGAGTGGCTGAGAATGATGTGAATTGATGTCTAAGTAGGACGTGCGGTAAACACTGACGTCATGAGATTGCAGCCTTATAGGAAGGTAAGTTGACTAATTTTCTAAGGTGACAAATTTTCCGACCAAACAGATTTACTGTTAAAAAGTGTTGCATTTATGTATTTTTTTGGCACTTTTTCTGGCACTTTCCCTATTAGCGCCTATTTATTCCCTTATTTACACCCAAATATTCCTTACCTCTCCGGTCATTTTATTTTTCTATTCCATGTAGGTAAGTTTCCGGTTCACAACTTACTTCTATATCTGCAAAAGTGAGCCTTTTCTTTCGGCAGATGTTTCCGCCACTGTCAGAGAGATGGACATGCCCTCTTTGCAGGTCAGTCCCACACCCTTTGACTGGCAGGCCCGTCCTTCTTTGATGACCAGCAAGCCTGCTTTCTTTTGAGACGAAGGTGGGCAGGGAAAGGTGGCAGGTATGCTTACCTTTTGGGAAACATAATTCCTTCCAGAACTTGGGTAATTTCCATAAAAGGATTCTATAGACACCAAAGCAACTTTAGCTTAAAGCAGTTTTGGTGAAAAGATCATGTCCCTGCAGTCTCACTGCTCAATTATCTGCCATTTAGGAGTTAAATCACTTTGTTTATGCAGCTCTAGTCACACCTCCCTGCATGTGACATACACAGCCTTCTTAAACACTTCCTGCAAAGAGTCATCTAATGTTTACATTTCCTTTACTGCAAATTCTGTTTAATTTTGCATTTCATTTCAACTTAATAACGTGATAGGCCCTGCAGGAGCCTCCTGTGTGTGATTACAGTTATATTTACAGAGCAGGACATAAAAACTTTTTAAGTAAGTTAACATCTGTTTGAAAGTGAAACCAGTTTTTTTTTTTCATGCAGGCTCTGTCAATCATAGCCAGGGGAGGTGTGGCTAGGGCTGCATAAACAGAAATAAAAGTGATTTAACTCTTAAATGGCAGTGAATTGAGCAGTGAGACTTCAGGGGCATGATCTATACACCAAAACCGCTTCTTTAAGTTAAAGTTGTTTTGGTGACTTTACTGTCCCTTTAAGCATAAACAAACAAACTAATGGAAGCGGTCTTGGCTGTAATAAATGATCATTTGCCATGCATTGACAGCAACAAATGTTCTCTCATTTTCTTCTTCATTACATGTGATTGAAAGTATAATTAGGTAATTTCAGGGAACAAAATACCTCCAAATAGGCAACAGGGAGACACGGAAATCACTTGCTCAGTGGTTGGCGATAAATGAAAACCTCACATTACAGCAAATGTGCTTTCTGCTGAAGTGGATCTCCAAGTGAGGTCAACCTGTTCTAGACCTTCACACAAGCTATTTGGCCATTTAGAGTGGACTTCAGTTGTAATTTTTTGGTATGCAATGTTCCAGTTAACTGCTCAATTACAGCTGAGTCTGAGTGCGTTATTTTTATTTTTCATTGTATATACTAACAGGAGAATTAGTTCACATTTGAAAGGAAATGTATTTTTTTGTGAGGCTCATTCTATTGAGTTGTCAGAATTCTCCCACTTCACAAACCTTGTCCATCCATTCAGTCACATTAGAAAGGTTGTTCTCATTGACCTTTAATGAAGCACCCGGTTATAGATAATTTTACTCTATGGATCATTTGAAAATATGACCATTTTCGATTTGGAGGTGGACATTTTATAATTGCATCACAGTTTTTAAACCCTCAGCAACTGGTAAAATGGTCACTGGAACTGTGAACTGGCTGCAACCAATGAGAATCTGATATTTAAACATTCTGTTGAGCAGGGAATATGAAGTGGTTCTGTGGACTGTCTATTGATTTGAAAACCCTCACAGGCAGTCTAGATTACTAAACCAAAGATTAGTTAGTAAGTGATACATCTCAGGCTCTATTGGAAACACTACTTATGGTCATCCACTAAACATGAACCTGTGGACCTTTGATAAGGAGATTTGAAATTCGAGGCCAAAATAGTCACAAAAAAAAATCTCCTTTTTTTTCTCCAGAACGCACACACATATATATATATATTTAATTTTTTTAAATTCTTTATTTTGTCGTACATAGATTAGACAAGTTACATTTACGCCAGCAATGCCGCAGCGGTTAATGCCAGAGTTTTCATTAACATATAAAGACAGTTGTACAGCATGGTTAAACTGTGCACATTTTTAAATTTAATAAGAGTGGGCAGTAATGTGGTGCAAGTTATAGCATGCTTGTAAAAGGTTGTATAATCTTATCCACTTACTGTGTTAATAAAAGTGTAGCAGAAGCTAGGTGAGTGAATGACTGAATATTTCTGAGTAGGCAAACGTTTTACTAAACTACCTGCCCGGTGAAGATTAGGAAGTAGCTTAAAGACAACAATAGGAAAAGGCATCAGACATGTAAGACTATAACTTTAAGAGTGTCCACCCCAAGTGACCCCTGTGTTAACAAGATGTCAGTCAGTGGTCATGCACCATGAGACCTGCTTATCTAAAGAGACAGAGAGGGACAAGAGCCCGAAAAATGCTGTAGGGGTTGTGATCCAGGTGAGTGTCAGAGTGTTAGTCCCCTTGTGTTTAGCTTGCGTCTCAGCCGATTGTCTGCCACGGGCAGGAGACAGATCCCAATGGTCTCTCAAATCTCTGCTTAGCCGATGCCCTCTGTGGGTTTTGCTTGGTCCCGCTGCAAGCTGGCTGTTTGTGTGCATCGTGGTTCCGCCAGGGCTGGTTGAGAGGTGCGGTATGGCAGTCCAGGAGTATGATGCGGCCTCTTGCATGGGTGACCGGCTCTCTGGCACATCTTGAGGGTTAATGCCTGCGGGCTGAGTACTGGTGGTCTTTGCCGTGTGGCGTGCGCTGGTCTCCATCTTTTCCGCCTGCTTCGGGCATGTCTCTGAACCGGAGCCAATGTCCTGTGGTGAGTCTCAGGAGGTAAGTGTTGTGCTAGAGCGCTATAGTATGTGCTTATGGCAGGCTGCTTGTGCCTGTGAGCCGCACTGAATGCTATAAGTGCGGGGAGGTTGCTTTCAGTCCCTCTGATCCCAGCTCTTGCGCACATGGCCTCCGCCATCTTAGAGGAAGTGCCTGGGCTGAAGGTTGGGGTGGTAGTGTCGGTTGGGGCCACAGGGTGAGGACTGGGATCACCCCCCGGTCCAGAGGAGGGGGAACAGGGCCAGAGCCACACGTGTTTGGGCCCCTGGCTGGGCACTGTTAGGCAGGATAGCAGAGCAGCAACCGTCTGCTCCACTCACCGCCGGAGAGGGCCTCAACTGGGATAGCCAAGATTTCTCCTCCAAGGGACTACAACTCAAGGAGCCAGCCTCGACCTGGATCCAGTGCCCCCTGTGCCCCCGTTGTTGTTCAGTGTATGGGTCGAAAATCGTAGTTATGGGGCTTAAAGATTAATAAGTTACAGGAGCTGATCTCCCCTGCGACCATCCAGCTTGGCGGTCCGGCCCAGGCCCCAGAACACATATTTTGCCTTAAAAATGTGTCATTCCTTGTCATTTCTTCACATGTCTGGATTTATGGAAAAATTCAACATCATAAGAAATTCTACTATGATTTTTGATTTTCAGTTTTTAATTAATTTAAGTTAACCGGTGAATATATATATAACGTCTAAACTAAAAATAAACACTTGATGTGTAGTTGTAATTAGAACTTAACTACATTCTAAAATTAGAACTATTGGAAAGTACATCCAATACGCGAACTTCCATTACCAATAGGCTAGAACCCAATTAATCGTTATGCCAAAAGTGATCTCACCAGAAAGGATGACTCAGGATCTGCCTATGGTAAACGAATTAGAGCCTCATTTTCCATCTAATACACATTTAATGATGAGAAAAGTCCAGGAAACTGAACATGGTATTGTTCATCCATTTGATGCTGTCGAAAATCAGCTAATGATATATTAAGAATCATTTAATTAAGGCTTCACTCTTCTCATAGTCATAAATCTCTCTCCGGAATTAGCCACAAGATACAGAGAGAAAGCAACGCTTTAGGTTTTTAATCACACATATTAATTAGCATTGAAGATTTCTGTTTCTAAATATCAGCCTTTAGATTTGCAGGAAGTTGATGGGACACGGTCGTGACATTTATTTCCACCTCTCATAATTTGTCAATTAAAAATGACAAATTTTCAAGATGTCCTTGGATTCACAATTTTTAAAAGGTTAACTTAACTTTGAGTAAATTACATGTCTAAGTGCAAGCAGTGACATACTACACTTCTACACTACACAAAGAATATTTTAAATGCTCATTATGGATCACTATGAATGTGGCAAATTGCTTAAAGAAACACATTTTTTGATACTTACCTCCAATGCAGAGCTGGATTAAGGTTGCTCAAAGCCCTTGGCAGGGTGACAGATTTGGGCCCCTTCATAGAGCTCTGGGCTCTACGAACAGTGTGTGTTCACTGAGTGATGCGTGGGAGAGTGTAGTAGGTGTCTAAGTGATAGTTGAGTGATGCGCGTGGTGGTTGACCTTTGTGTGTGTGTGTATATTTTGCCCCCTCCCCGGTTACCTTCCCTGGTGGTCCAGCAGAGGATGAGTTGGATCCCTGTTGGTTCAATAGGGGAGCTTCATTACCTGTACCACTGGAAAGTACAGACGACCAAAAGAGGGCCCTCTCGGTTCAGGTGCTCAGTGAACGACTCCAAGCACTGACTGTGGTGCTCTGAGTAATCGAAAGGTGTGTGGGGGGGGGGGGGAACAGCAAGGATGCTTCTAAAGTTGCCTGCACCTGCACCTGATATTAGTACAGACCACAAAAATGTTTTTCTGCCAGGGCTCCATTCTGTCTTTCTGCATCTCTCCTCTTACACTTCCACCACGCTTGTAAGGCAAACTTCATCTAGGCACCAGTGGAGTAGGATGGAGAGATCAGCACACACTAAGTCCCTCACATGGGTTCAGTGCAATCCAGATACAGTGTATAGTAGACATGCTTGGTGTAACTGTGCTCACTGTATATGGCATTCTACCCACATCCAGACTTTATTTTACATTCTGAAGCTACATACAAACTTCATCAATAACCATGCAAATACCATTTTTATTTACATATTTTTGTTACACTTTATGTGACACATTTTTTTTTCTTCTCTGCAAATATTTCACAGCTTGATTGAAATATTGCCAGATAAGGGATACCAAATGATCTTGTAAACCTTTTATCCATCAAATATTTCCCTAAACGATGGAGCAATAAACATTTTTTTTCACGAAATCAATATTTAATCAGAATTTATTGTATAAATAATTATCCTATGTTTCAAATAAATATTATCCTATTATTTTGTAAATTAAAAGAAATTAATAGCTAAAAGGTTAAAAGAAGCATTAAATAGACAGTTATCTGTGGGGTGCACACATATAAGCATTCAACACACGCTTGTCAAAATCAGATATGTTGAGCGGACATTTAGTGGGTTCCATCGTCTTCAAGCGGCTCTTTCCTGTCATCTTACACAATATATTGCGAGTTTGTTGTTCCCTCCGGGCAGCCGCTCAGAGGTTCATCTTGGGTTGTGTAAGAAAGCAGGTGTCCCTTGTCTCTGATAATATCTAATGAATAATGGCA